TTATAAAATTAATGTCTCTGACATATTTCACCTGGTAGTGGTGTGGTTTTCCCCCAAGGGTGTTATGAATGGAATGGGAAAAAACCTTTGTGTTAATATTTTATACAATAAGATCATCTTTTGACAGCTTAAAAGTTTTACTATTCTCACTCAAAATCTATTTTTATATGTATAATTAATAATGCCATTGCTGTATTTATTGTATATTATTTTAATAATATTGTTTATTCATTATTATTAAAGTTGATATAATACTTTGTTAGTATATTATTTGGCCTACATAAAACCACAGAGATTTTATGGCAATAGACATGGATGCTTAGGATCTGGATGCCTAATTATTATTTATTTCTCCTTTACTGATGCAAAGGGAGATTTTTTTTAAGAGACTGGGGAATAATTTGGGGTTTACAATGATTAAACAATGATTTTCACATCTGATTTCTCTCAGTTGCCCAGAGGCTGACAAAGATGAGCAAGCACTGTGTGAACCTGGACAACACAACAGCAAATCTGACAGTGGAGTCTTTTCAACTTGACATGGGATTCCGTTTTGAGGTAAACAACTGAAATAGGCAGCTCTAAACATCTGAGTTCTTTAAATGCTGTAGGCTCTTTTTTTTTTTCCCCCAGTGTTTTCAGTCACAAAATGCACAAAAATTTGATGTTTTTAGCTCCATGTCACTGTCTCTGGAAAGAAGATCGACATTTCAGAAATCCCTGAGCTTCCCATTCCTGAAGATTGGATGAGAGACAAACTGGAGCTGCATTTCTACAAAACTAAGCAGGCAGAAGGAGGAAGAGAAATAGAAAATGTGACCTACAACAAGGAGTCTGGGACAGCTGTCATCACATTCCTCAAACCCGGAGGTAGAGTCTGGAATATTTTCTTACCCAAATTCAGGCCAAATTGTCCATTCTGGGGTAACCACTGGGTGTTGCAAACTCTTCCCATAGGGATTTCATGGATCCCTCAGAGATGTGGGGAAATACAGCAGTTTTTCATTACATCCTCTTTGAGCAAACATAACCTGCTCCCAGTTCATGAGCTTTCTTTCAGAACTTCTCTAAAAAAGCTGTTTTTTTTTTTTCCTCCGCATTGCCAGACACTCACATTGCAAACAGAAAATCAGGAAAGTGTTTGATTTTAGCTCCTGTTGCATGACAGTGAAGTTGGATTCCTATTGCCCAACTGGAAGGAATTCCATGATCAGTGGAGCCACATCCACTTAGAGCAGCTGTTTTAGATTTATTTCAGAGCTTTTGTGAGCATTTAATGATGTTACTATTTTTTTTTTTTGGAAGTGCCAAATAAACATTTTGCAGAATGCACATGAAGAATCTACAAATGTTCCATCCTCCATCAGTTTCTACATCCACAAAGATGAGTCTGGTCTTTGAAATGTTCATAAAATATTGGTTCAATTATATTAAAATAATTAACTGTGGGGCTTTTTTTCTTGCTCTCTTACAGCCAGTTACAACTTTGTGGGACATACTAACTACCCTTTCTGTACAGAGGGCAGGTGGTTCATCCTTGCTGTCTCCCCAGGTTTTGATTTTCACTTGAAGAAGTTTCAGGTAAAAGAATCTACTCCAGGCTGACAGAACAGATAAGTGGGAAATGGGAGAATGGGCAGAATTTTCACTCCTTTTGTGTGAACTGAACAGCGAGTGTGAGTGTGAAATAGGCTGCTGAGCTCATGCGTGGAAGCTGTAATTTATTTTTAAAGGCTGTGCTTGTGTTTCCTTGATGGAATTATCTCAGCACTCCCCATATGGCTGTGCTGGGCTGTTTGGGAAGGAGGTTGAGCACAAAGTTCTCCAAAGTCACAAAGCTCTGTCAGGATCCCAGAGTCCCAGCGGATGCAACATTTGCTCATTCATTCCTTGATTTCACTCCTTCATTCAGCCCAAACTGTGTCTCTGTCACACAGAGCTGGCTCATCACATTCTCCCTCCACTTGGCTGCTGCTTTATGAGTAGATGGTGATGCGGTCAGCATTGTGTATATAATTAGGCCCTTGTAATTAAGGCATGGGCTGCAGTGTGCAGACACCCAGCAGGGTTCTCTGCAGGTCTGGGGCGAGTCCTGGCAGGGATTTTATGGGCTGCTGCTGTCAAAGATCCCCAAATCCAGAGTGTGGCTGCATTAAGGAGTGCAGGACACACCAGTTAAGGTGTGGGCTCAGAATTATGGAATCAGGGAATATCCTGAGCTGGGAGGAACCCAGAAGATCGTGGATCCAGCTCCTGGCCCTGCACAGACACTCCAAAATCCCACCCTGGGCATCCCTGGCAGCGCTGTCCAAACGCTCCTGGGTTTCTGGCATCCTTGGGAATGTGCTCATTCCCTGGGGAGCCTCAGCACCCTCTGGGGAAAAATCCTTTCCCTGAAATCCAACCTAAACCTGCCCTGGCCCAGCTCCAGCCGTTCCCTGGGTCACAGAGAGCAGAGATCGGAGCTGCCCCTTAGGAGGAAGCTCCAGACTGGGCTGAGTCTCCCCTCACTCTCCTCCAACAAACCAAGTGCCCTCACCTGCTCCTCCACAGCCCCTCCAGACCCTCCATTGTAGTGTGAATCCAGGATTCCTGCTCTTCCCAGAGAAATTCCCACTATTAAAGTCTTCACCTCGCCAGAGATCCCAGCCACGCCTGAGCGAGGAATTTAATTCCCATCTCTGGCACTTCCTTTGGATGCACAGCTGCTGCATAATCCTGGTTTGTTCTTTCCTCCCCAGGCATACTGCAGGGTTTCCAAGAAGACCATTCTGCTGAAAGGAATCCCAGAGGTGGAAGAGAATGAAGAAAGTGTGCAGGACATGATTGAAATTCACTTCCAAAAGCCAACCAACAGTGGAGGCGAGATAGAGAAAATCAAATTCACCTCCAGTGGAGAAGCCTATGTTTGTTTTGAGGAGGATACTGGGAATGCCATCTCGGAAATCAAAGGGGACTCGTGAAGTTCTGAGGTTTTGTTCCTCAGAGGCACAGGAATTTGTGTAGATACTGTGCTTTCATGTTCTGAAATTGCTACTGTGAAAGAGCAATCCCTGCCTTTCTGATCTGTCTCGTGGCACTGGCTTTGCATAGGAAGTCAGCAAAACTCCCTGCCTGTGCTGCAGATTAAAGGCAAAGACCAAGCCTTCAGCAGCCCCTGAAACACTATCTCAGATTTTCTGAAACTTTGCATATTTTATACCTTGCAGATTTTAAAATACTCCACAGTGGGATGAGTGGATTATTCCTTGCATTCTGGATACAAAAGACATATTTAATCCCAATCTAAGCCTCCTCACAGTCCCGCTTTTTTGACGTGCCAGAGCTTCAGAAGGTAGCTCTGACACAGCTCCAGTCCTGCTGAGGTTGCTGAGCGCCACCAGGACTCAAATATCTGAAAGAATCCTGTCATTTCATAAAAGCCACCTTATCAAATTAATGATAGAATTAAAATAGGAAACAGGGGGTGCAAAACCAAGAAATTGCACTTAAGAAATGCTCTGGCATTTGCTGCCTTGAGCTGCTGGGCTTCTGCCTATTCATAGCCTGCTTTATTGTTTGATTTTAATATTTGTTTCTGCAATTAAATTTCTTCCTCATTTTTATTTGTGATTTTGGTTATTTTAAACAGGGATTGAGCTGATGCTGTACCTGTTTTTTTAAGAGCCCTGAGGGAATCTGGTGATCCCAGGCTGGGGCTGGGAGGGCTTGGAGAGAGTAATTTTCCAAGGAGGAATGTTTTGTCTTTTCTGCTGTCATCCTTGGAAAACAAATCCTCTTCTGAGTTAGCACTTTTGCCACACTTGTGGGCTGAAATGGTTTGGCCCCAACAATCTTAACTCCAAACTAACATGGAGCCTGACATTGAAAATAATTTCTTTACAGGGTATTTGACATCTTGATAGGCCGGGAAAGGAGAGTGCACTGAGAAGAGCACTGCAAAAATACCTCAGGGATTATTATTCCAGACAAACTGTTAATTGGCAATGGAGAAATGTTGACTATGGAAAATTAAAGGGCTGCAAACACCACAGTTTATTTTGAATTTGCTGTCGAGTGAGATACATGTGACTGTAGCACCTCTCACTGTTTAGGGCGTGCAAAGGCAGGGACTGATTACCTGACCATTGTAAAATAATAATAATTACTTCATACAAAGTTGTGCTGAAGAATTTGTGGAGATTGTGCACTTTTGCACTCTCAAAAACTTGCTAAGACCAAACACCTTAAAAAGAAAGGGGGAAAAAAACCTGAGCAAGGTAAAAAATGTGATGAATTTCAACTGTATCTCACCGATAAAATATTGAGAAATAAATCCTTAAGAAGGAAAAAGCTTTAAATTCTCTTAAGGTGTCACTCACAAGGAGTAGTGAGAAGCTGCAGCTTTTAAAACCCAGAAAATAAATTAGATTTTTACATTTTAAAGACAATGTCTGTAAATGTCTTGCTTTTGTCCCTCGTCAATTATGGCTTGTGATCATTACCCTGTTAAATTTTAAAGCAGCACTGGTGCTTTAAAGGCTGGAGTTTGGTTTTAGGGATGAAAAATAAGAATGAATGATGTTTCTATAAATGTCAATATCCTTTTTCCTCCCCGCTGGGGTGACTTTCTCTCGGGCTGCGAGGTTTTTATACCCAAATTACATTTCCCAGCTGCAGCTTTCATCCAAACGTCGGTGCCGAGCTAAACACGGGGATCTTTGGAGCTGTGCAAGCGCAGCCTTCGGGAGTGTCCCTGGCCATGTGGGATATTGGGAATTGGGAATTCCTGGCTGGGAGAGAGGCCCTGGCACAGGGTGCCCAGAGCAGCCGGGGCTGCCCCTGGATCCCTGGAAGTGTTCCCTGTCCTTTCCTGGCCCTCTCCATTGCATGTCGCTGCACATCCCAGCTCCCTGAGCCCGTTCCCGGCCCCTCAGGCCCCGCCGCCATTCCCAACTCCGCAGTTCCAGGCGGGAAGGGCGGGCCCGGCCGCGCTCTGTCCCCTCAGGGCTGGAGGCGGCCTGAGGGGCGGCCCCGCCGCTTCCCCGCCGCTTTCGCTTTCGTTTCCCCGCCGGGCCCGCTCGCTCCGGGCCCTTCCCGGTACGATCCATTCCCGCTGGGATCCGCGTCCCGTGGAAGCCCCATCCCGCTCGGATCCCGTCCCTTGGGAGCCCCATCCCGCTCGGATCCCGGTCCCGTGGGAGCGACGGCCATGGCAAGTGCCGGGGAGGGGCAGGGCCGGGAGGAGCTGGGGAAAAAGGGTGGAGAGGGAGCAGGAGAGGGACTGGGGTCAAGGGTTAGAGAGGCAGGACACAGGGAATGGCTCCCACTGCCAGAGGGCAGGGATGGATGGGATATTGGGATGGGATTCCTGGCTGGGCTGGAATTCCCAGAGAAGCTGTGGCCGCCCCTGGATCCCTGGCAGTGCCCCAGGCCAGGCTGGACATTGAGGCTGGAGCAGCCTGGCACAGTGGGAGGTGTCCCTGCCGTGGCAGGGGTGGCACTGGATGGGATTTAAGCTCCCTCCCAACCCGACCCACTCTGGGATGTGCCGAGAAGCCACAGCAGGACCCGATTGTCAGCGGAGCCGCTGCCCCATTCCCACCTCCCGGCCCATTCCCGGCCCCTCCCGCAGCGCCCATCCCTGCCCGGGAGCAGCTGCTCGGCACAGACGCGTCTCGGGAGTGATTCAGCACAAACCGTGTGTTCTTGGGTTGTTTTTTTTCCCCTAACCCCACTAGCAGGCCCGAGTGTTGCTCCCAAACACCAGCTGGGAAGGTGCGAGGGCTGTCTGGCAGCTGAGCTGAGCTCCGGCTGTGCCAGGCGTGAGAAAATCCCTGTTTGTATTCCCTCCGTGCTGCCTCATTACAGCGGGGACTTGCTCTCACACGAGCTTCACCGCCAGGATAATTGGCTACTGTAATTAATTAAAAGCTCCCGGCTCTGGAAATTTGACGGGGGATAAAAGGAGGTTGCGGAGCCTCTCGCTGGGTTTGTCTCCAGAGCCGTGGTGGTCGCTGGGATTTTGGACAGACATCAGCAGCACATTCTGCTCTGGGGCTGGAGCTGGGATTGTGTTTTAGGCAGCAAAAAACAACTTAAGAGAAGTTTAAAGAATTCTGATGGAGTGACTGACCTCAAGTGTGGTTACTGACAGCTCGTTCCCACAAACGCTGCCATGCAGTCAAATTTACCTCCTTTCTTCCAAAAAGTCAGCGAACTGTTACTAAATTAAGTCGGTGCTCCATGATTTGCAGGGATTTTGCTGTGATACTCCCAGTGCAATGTTCTTGTTTATGTCTGTGTAATAAGAATGGAAAGAAAATCTGCTCTTCCTAGCAAGACGTGGATGCAGATGCTGTTTGGGATGGGATTTGTGTTTGCTCCTGGGGCTTTGGCTCTGATGGAAATCGTGTGTGTGGTTGGTTGTTCCATGCTCTGCGGGTCTGGACTGGCTGGATGATGTTCTCCTGATTTAACAGGGTTATCCATATAATAATTGGAGAGATCTGAGTCAGATCCCAGCTCTCCTGGATTTAACAAGGAATCTGCCCCTTCCACTCTGCAAGGAATCCTTGCTGAGCACCACGTGCAGTTACAATTTTTCATTCTTTTCTAATTTGGAATATTAGAATCAGAGAAAACCACGTTATCAGTGGGACCTTCCAGCTGAGAAGCTCAAGTTTAATGCTCATTTTTACTGCTTTAAGAAGATACCAAGAGGGTTTAAATGGCATTTAAAACCATTTTTTAGTGCACAGTAATGCACTAGGCAGCCTGGCAGAGAGATCTGATTGAGCAGCATTAATTAACCCCTAAATGCACATTGCAGAGGGAGTGGGAGTTCTCTCCAGGGGTGGGAATTTGGGAGGTTCCTCCTGCATTTACCGTGTGCCATCTCTGCACAGGCCACGGGCCAAGCTGCCAGATCCACGAGGACAATTGTCATTGCTGGTGTCCCAGCTGGCCTCCTGCAGGATGATGTCATGGCTGACATCCTCACCATCCACTTCCAAATGTCCAGGAATAACGGCGGGGATGTGGAAGAGGTCACGTATCCCACACGGAATAAAGGAGTTGCCTACATAACCTTTGAGGATCAAGAAGGTATTTTAGATTTGTGTCTTCAAGTACAGCCATCCCCCAAAGAATTAGCCCCAGAATGTTGATCCCAAGACAAATGATTTTAAATTGGGATTTTATAGAACTGAGAGGCTGAAGCCTCTCTGGTAATCAGGCCAAGTTTCAGGATTTTATTTCTGCTCGTTGAAGTAATGACTCACTCGTCATGCAAAGCGATATGTTTGTTTTGCAGGAACAAATTGATGCCATGAATAACGTATTATTTTTGTAGTCAGGCTCTGGGGAATAAATCTCTGCCAATTAATGTGCCAAGGAGGCGGGCTCATGTCTCTCTGAGCAATTTGGAGTAAAATACATAAAATATTAGGTGAGAGTATTGAGTGGCCTGCACGTGTTTGGGTACAGGAAGGGTTCCAGCAGGCTAGAGGTGACTGTTCCACTGCTCATCAAGTGAATCTGGGTTTGTTTTTAGTTGTGGAGAGTGTTCTGAAGAAGGAGCAGCATCTCCTGCAGGACAAGAGGCTGCCCAGGACCTACCCGCTGACTGTGACCCGCTACTGCAACAGCGTGAGCCCTGATTCATCTCCTTGTGCTTAATGCCTTATAAACCACTTACTAACCACTCCTTAACTTCTCCAATTCACAATTCCAGGTCTTCCTCTGTGTCACATCCACCCTCAACGTGGCTCTTTTCAGAGATCACTTTGTTTTGGAAGATTTGGTGGAAGAGATGAAAAAGCAGAGCCCGGATTTGAATTTTGGTCCTTTGCAGCCTGACGGACAAATTTCTGTGAGAGGGTCCTTCCCAGCACTCAGAGTGCTGAGAGAATTCCTCTTGTTAAAGGCAAAATCCCTCTCAGAGGAGGGCAAAAGAGAGGGAAAATCCCATCAGAAACCGAGGAAGAAGCTGCAGGAGCACAGAAGTGCCGCGGAGACGAGGAATTCCCGGAATGAGCACAGGGAAAAACAAGTGCTGGTTCTGGACACAGATATCTATCTCTACATGAAGTGCTTTCTTCCCAAAAAGTTCCAGGCAAACGACATTGTGATTTCTGGTGTCACTGATGGTGACATCACCACGGTGTGCATTGAGAGTGCTGGCAGGGAGGCTGGTGCTGCTCGCAGATCAAGGGCCAAGGGAATCATTGAAAGGTGCTCCGTAGAACTCCAGAAGATTTTACGTAAAGAAAGGATCTGCCTCAAGGAACAGAGCAGAGGGGAGAAGCAGAGATACAAACAGCTCTGTGAGAGGCTGAAGGCCCATTACCCCAAGCTGCTGATCGTTCCTTACGACACCCACATTGACGTGGTGGGAATGTCTGCAGATGTTTTTGCGTTTAGGGAGGAGGTGAGGAGGCTCTCCAGGTAGGAGGGAGTGCTCCTGGAGTTTGTACTTCTCACCCAGCCTGTGCCGGTGGCCCTGTGGCCCTGTGGCACTGCACATCTCCCTCTGTGTCACTCTGGGTCGCCTTGTCCTACTCACTGGGAGGGTGACCCTGCCTGGCCCTCCCCAAATACCAAATTAAGGTCAGAACAAGAAACCAATGATCTCTGCACTTAGGCAGCAAAAAGAATTTAAACCTCATCTGTCCAGAAAGAGCCACATTTTCCTTTTGATACCTCAGTGCCTTCTCATCCCAATTTGCTGTCAAGGAGTAGGTGATGAGAAGAGAGATTTTGGGGTTTTTTTTAAGCTGGGGGTGCCAGCCTTGTAGGAAACACTGCAGGGAAGTTCTGTGGGAGGTTGTGTGAGGAGGTGAGCACAGCAGACAGGAATGGGGACCTTGATCTGCAGAGGGACCTTCTCCCCCTTGGGAAGAGAGCTGGGACACTTGGCAGAGCAAAATGCACATGGGATGAGCAGGCTTCAGAAAGCCTTGAAAATTCTTCTCTGGAGGAAACAGGCAAGTTTATTTTCATAGGAGCAATAATGGGGTTTTTTCCAGCTGTAAAGGCTTCTGCAGCATCTCTTGACAGCACGTTATTTAGATGTGAAAGTGTGTCCAGAGATTTGATGGGAAAATTTGGAGGCATTCAGACTTTGAAATCAGATTCTGTTTATGCAGATCTGTTTCTGTATCCATTACAAGGGCACAGAGAGGATTTTTTAGACCAATACAGAAAATAGCTTTTATTTTGTGATATCTGTGTGTTTAGAATAATTTGTCAAAACATCCACAGCACCAGCTCTTCTGTTTGATGTGCAGGGAAAGTTTTAGGGGTTTATGCCACAAAAGAAAGCAGTTGTCCAAAGCATCTTATCTGTGTTATTTTAACCAAATCCCAAGTTTTTGGTTGGAAGCCCAAACCTGAACCCCAAGAAATGCTTGAGGCATTTTCTTGTCATCACTGATTATCCATGGCAATGAAGCCAGTGAAAAGTGTTAGAGCAGTGATTTAAAAATGACTGTCAAAGCAGCGAGCTGAATTGGGGGGGTGGGAGTAATGTTTAAAGATTATATGTAAAAAATATATATTAATAATATACATTATATTTTTTAATATTTTATTTTATATATTCAATATTATTTTTTTTAATCTTTTAGATATTTTATATATATGTATAATTTAATTATTATTTCATCCTTTCCACGTTCCCCCATGCTCTGCAGGTTCTCCAAGGGGCTCAGGAATGAGAAACTCTGGGAAACTCCCCCTGGAGCTGTCTGGGCTCTTCCCCACTGAACTCAAGCAGAGATGGGAAGTTTTTCAACCTTGTCAAAGACAAAATCCTCTAGGAAGGCTAATCCTTTAACGAAATTAGTGTTTTCCAGTATCCACACTGAGCTTCTCTTTTTTTTCCAAAGAGCCTCGTTTATTTATAATTTTTTTTCTGATTCAGAGCTTTGGTATTTCCTATTTGCTCAGCTGGCACAGCAGTGGCACCGGTGTCTGTGTGAGCCCTGCCCGGTTGCTGCTGGCTGAGGGTGGTTTTTGAGTCAGCTTTGGCAGCAGCACAAGTTGGCAGCAGCGCTTCAGGTGTCCTTCAAGTCTGGTTTGCTGCCAAACAACTCCTTCCTACCCAACCACTCGCAGTCACAGCCTCCCAACCTTGAAATCGCTGCTGAATAAAATGTTCTTTTCGAATCCTGGCTGCTCTGCTGGAACAGCTCCTCTTTACATTCCCTGTGCAGCCCCTTTGCCCCCACGTCCTTGGCATCCCTTCAGCATTATCCCATTGTTCCCGGAGCTCTCGCATCTGCCGATCCCTTGTTCCCAGGATGTCGCTTCTGGAGACAAAAAGAGCTTCTGCCTCGGCTGTTTTGTTTGTGGAGTGCTTTGGAAAGAGGTATCCGGGGGTGGTGGGTCGGGGAAAAGGAGCAGAGGAGCTGTTGTCGTGCTCTAGGGATGCTTTTCCAGGCTGGATTTGGCTGGGAATGCCCCACCTTGGGCACCTGGGATGGATCCAGGGCTCGTGGTGTCCGTGACAGGAGCAAAGCTGTGATCCAGGAGAGCCCAGGGTGTGCTGGCAAACCAGCCAGAACATCCCCAGTGAAACACATATTCCTTCCCTCACCCTGCAGATTCTATGGAAAACAATGGATATTTAGCCAAGACCCCTCCAATTTGGTCATTACCATGAATATTCCAATAAATCCAACCAAACAAATCCGTGTGAGGGCTGCTCAGAGATTTGCCAGCTCTCCTTCTCAGTTATTTTTATGGCAAGCAAAGCACTGCTGTCCCTATGAAATTCCACTTGAAAAATACTTGTTTGTGTTGGATAACATCTTGGGATCAGCTGTTATTCCTGGATCTGTTAATTGACTCAGGACTCTCAGGTTTGCACATTAATTTGAATAAAAAACTTGCTCAGGAGACCTCAACAAAACATTTGTGCCCTCACTTGCTGCCCTTCCCCAGAAGGGGATAAATAAGAGCTGTAAAAATACAAAGCCTAGTTTTGATTTGAGGCACAACTCCTACTGGAAAAGCCTAAAAAAAATAATAATTTAAAAGGGCAGAAATAGCAGAAGAATGTGAGCTCAGCTCCTGGCAGCACCTCGCTACAGTCAGTGGGGAAAACACCTTAAAAACACCTTAAAAACAGCAGGATTTGAGGGATATCCCTCAACAGGAAAATATTACCCAATTTGGAGGCCAAAGCAATCTCCTGGTTGTCCTGAGGGGCTGGGGGAGGTGATGCAGCAGCAGTGATTGACTGGAATCCTTCAGCATCCCCGACACAAAGGGCTGCTCCTGCAGGGGAGGGAGGACAAAGCCTCCCCTATTCCCCATTGTACCTGTGCATCTCATTATGCAGCGGGAAGGATGGATGGATGCCGTTCCTGCAGGAAGGAGCTTTTTCCATAAGGGAAAAAAAAACCCCTTTCTGCAGATTTCTTGTCCCCAAAGCTGCCCCTGCCACCTTTGAGCTGAGCTCAAACTTCGTGCGTTCGTTCCAAGTGCACAAAGTGCAAAAGAGCTGTCGCATCTCCTGAAAAACTGCAATCCTATTCTGAAGGAATATTCTGCTTTTGAGAGCAGTTTGTTTTATTTAAAAATAACCCCCAGAACGACGTGTAAGAAAAATAAACCACGCTAGTAACAGTGAAATTATCTGAGACAACTTTCACACCTACATCTTTGTCGGGCCACACTGAGAGCGGGAAGCATCAAAACCAGATGAAAATGGGAATATTTATCTGCTGAGGGTGGTTGGTGAGTCCCTGCAGCCATCCAGGGGTGGATCCCACCCGGAGAGAGGAGATGGATTTAGCAGGGATCTCCCTTGGCTGCAGGAACAAGCCCTGGTTCCTGTTTTGGTGCGCATCTTGTGCAAGAGAAAAGCAGCTGGGACCCTGCCCAGAGGGGCTGGGAAATGCTTGGAAATGTTTTTCTGCATTGCTCAACCCTTCCGAGGTGGCTTCTCCCTCACATCCAGGGTGGTCGGTGCTCCAGGATCCCTGGCTTCCATCCAGTTTAATTCCAAATAACTCCTTTGGGCTCCTTCCCTTCGGTCACTGCAGTTACCAGTGAAAAGACCTTTTCCACCCCTCTCTTTTAAATGAGGAGAAATCCCTTGTGGATACTTGACCACCTTCACCTAAATTAGAGGATGGGAGTATTCCCTGATTTCTGCCTGAAGATAATCGGGCAAGCTGGCCAAGGGGATAAACAAATAATCATTAATTTTAATTCTGATTTAAAGCAAACCAGAAAAATCGAGTAAGACTGCCCAATTCAGGACTGACAGCACCTGGTCTGCTTGTGCTTACTTTCCCCTCAGTTTTAAGAGTTGTAGAACATCTGCTGGAAAACAAATCCATTTTTCTACTTTCCTAACGCAGCTTTCCTTTGTCTCCTGACACCCATTACTGACCTTTGAAGAAATCTCCTGAAAGGAACTCGGTTAAAGAAAATCACCACCTCTGAAGGCAGCAGCCACCGGTGCTGGGGTGCTGCACTAAAAGCAGTTTCCAGGTGGATTTTCCCTGTTCTTTCTGCTCCTGCCTGGGGCAGTGGAGCAGCACCTGCCACACAGAATGGCAAAGGGGGAAAAAAAATCGGGATAAAATACTGGGAAAACAAGGTCCTGTTGTGTTTGTACAGCTGGAATAGTTTCATACTCCTGAAATCCCTGCACGGTGGAGAAGGAACACCGGGAGTGGGATGGACAAGTGGCAGTGCTGGATTGGGATCGTGCAGGAAAGGTGGGATTTCTCCAGGGGGGATTTCTCCAGGGTGGGATTTCTCCAGGGTGAGATTTCTCCAGGGTGAGATTTCTCCAGGGTGGGATTTCTCCAGAGTGGGATTTTCTCACAGCTCATCCGTGATGGAGCAGGCTGTGTGTGCTGGAGCTGCTCATCCTATTCCCTGTTCCCTTGGTGCTCTGGGAAGAGTGGGATGATCCCTGCGAGCCCGGAGGTGCAGAGTTGGCCCCTTTGGGGTCCCTCCTCGGGCTGGACACGGGGACAGGAGCAGCTGCCACCAGCCGGGCCTTGTCCTTCCTCCTGTTCCTGCCGTAAGCTCGGGAACGCAAGAGGGAGCCAGATGCTTTGGAGCAGCAATTTCAAGGTCTGCGCCGGGGTCCTGCCCTGCTGCGGGAGGAGGAGATTTGGGATCAGCTCCTGCTCCATCCCCGACCTGCGGGAAGGCGAGCTCAGCTCACCTTTCCCTGGAGATGTTGGGATCAGGTCCTGAAGCCGAGTTCAGCTCAGCTTTCCCTGGAGGAGATTTGGGATCAGGTCCTGAAGCCGAGCTCAGCTCAGCTTTCCCTGGAGATGTTGGGAGCGGCTCCTTCCCATCTTTCCTTGCCCGCGATGCTCTCCCAGCTCCTCCTTTGGAGCTTCTGTACAAACGGGATTTCAGGCTGCCCTGGTGGATGTCTGAGATGAGCAGAAGGCTGTGATGAATCCCTTGTTCAGCACGGTGTAATTAAGCCATGCTGTAATGAATCCCGTGTTAAACCTCGGATTTCATCTCTCGGAGCCGGGTGAGCTCAGCGAGGCTCCGCACGGGGCCAGGTGAGCTGTGACCAGAGACAGGAGGGAGTTTCCAGCTGGAACAGCATGGAATGAGATGATCCTTAAAGTCCTTTGCAACCCTTTTCCACTCTTCTCTCTGTGTGGGATGCTCCCTTTATGTCCCACCACTCAGAGGTGAGGCCCTGCTCTGATCCCGGCTTACCTGGGCTCCAGATCTCTCCTGATCCCTTCCAGATCCCTCCAAACACATGGATTTTGGAGAGGAGAGACCTCCAGGTGAGGCCCTGCTCTGATCCCAGCTTGCCTGAGCTCCTGATCTCTCCTGATCTCTTCCATATCACTCCTGATCTCTTCCATATCTCTCCTGATCCCCTCCAGATCCCTCCAAACACGGATTTTGGAGGACAGACACCTCCAGCTCCCGGTCTCCACCGCGCTGAGGAATTTAACCCCTCCTGCACACAGGAATTACCCTTCCCTTCTCCAGGCTGCAGTCAGTGGCACAACAGGTTTGATGTCGGTTTAGACACCCATAAATAAAAATTTTAAAGATCTTCATTTCCACTTTTGTGTGGTTTGTGATAATTTTTTCTCGATATTGCAAGAAAAGCCTTTTCACTCCTTAATGTTACAGAGTTGTGTCCTGGCCTGCAGTGCAGGCTTGCTGTGCATAAAATCATCATCTTCACCATCATCTGGCTGTTTTTATTTTTCAGCAAAAAGCTAAAAAATGTTCATGCAACCAGTCCTGAACAAGTGGAAAGTTTTAATGCCCACACTAAGTCCCCCCGAGAGGCTTTTCCAACTCTGTTGTACGAACATCTCCCCCAGGAGTGAAGGGTTTGGCATTTCTCTCAGCAGCATTTCTCCCAAACTTTCTGAATAACCCACGGAGAGCCTCCAGCATCTGCTGTGCCAAACCCAATGAGAGCTGGAAGGATTTTGCAGGCTCCTTAATGCCTGGCATTGACAGGCCTGGAGGGGCTGGAATGGGATTTCCATAGGGGAG